GCTCCATGGTCTGACCAGAGTTCACGCACAGATAAGGCAGTGACAAGAAAAATGGCTGCCCAAGGTCCCCACAGTGCACTCTAAGCATGTGCAGGGGCCTGCCAGGACTTCCTGAGCTCCTGGCTTTGTCCCCAAGTAAAGGCTATTAATCATGAAGTCTTGGTCAGCTCATTTTGACACAAACCACAGGTGAGACAGGCCTTAGCCACCTGCCAAGAAGACAGGGCCTCTGTGCTGAAGCCCTACAACACACCTTTATTGCCTTTACTCCAATTGGCCACCTCCTATTCCAGCCACACTTACTCCTCCCTTGTTGACACTTGCCAAACAATCCCAACTCTCCTACGAGTCTAACCACTGGTAACTCATTATAAGATCTACTTTCCTTTCTTTCCAACAATTTCATTTCTTTCTTTACATTGTTAACCCTGCCAATTGTACTGCTAAGTTTAGTACCTTCTGTGAACTACAGGGTCCAGAAACCCGCTGATCTCCCCAAGTAGTATGTTCTGGCAGAAAGGGCCAGGAAGACATAGCGGTGAGTCCCAGATGAGAAAAGTGAGGCTCAGAGAGGAATAATTGGCAGGGATGGGAACCCAGGTCTTCTGGCCCATCCTGTTAGGACACCATCTCTTAGGCCTCATATGTCTGAACTTCTCACAGTGCTGCGGTGCTCAGCACTCTCTGATCTATTGGCAAGCTGACCCGTAGACTTGGCAGCCCTTTTCCCCCACTGATTCCAGGGAAAGTACCTGCATGCCTTCTGGGGGCTTCCCCCAGCACACGTGTGAAGTGTGGTGTGTGTGTGTGTGTGTGCATGTGTGTGTAGGAGACAAAGGGGATGTGTGTGCACAAGGGTCCATGTCAGCAGCACTCACAGGCTTCTGGCCAGCTCTGGAAAGGACATTTTTTGCCCCTCACAGTGTCCTCTTGCAGGTAGGATGCCTGGAGGGAGGGGAGCAGGTGGGGAAGGTCAGAGGAATGGCTTTTCCAATCTCACTCAGACCTAAAACTCATTCTGGCTTTACCTTAGTGATGCAAGCTGCCTGAGCTGGCCAGGCATCGAGCAGGAGGAGGCAATGTGGGGTGGGGGCAAGGGTTGGGAGGAACTCCACAGCATAATCCTAGGAGAGAGAAGCAAGTGAGGGACTGACTTCAGCTCTTAGGTGTGTGCGTTTGGACTTTACCTAATCTTCCTGAGTGTTTCGCAGTCTGTAAAATGGGGCAATAAGACTCAACTCAAGCGTTGTAGTACAAATAAAATAAACTGGGCAAAACGCATGACTCAGAGCCTGATAGTAGGATTTCAGCAAATGTTGATCCCATCTCTCCCCCTCCCTAGGTTGTGCCAGAATTCACCCTGTGCTTCGTACTTTAAATACTTTTTGGAAAAGTCTTTACAATAAATAAGTAAACCAGCAAGACAATAAATAAAATGCACACCTCCTTTTCTTTTTCCCCCTTTCTTCCTCACCTTTATTCCTTTTACTTTTCCAGCGGGTTCTGGAATGCTGTTTTACTTCCCTTTCTTCCCTCTTTCCCTCTTTCCCTCTCTTCTCTCCTCTCATCCTCCTTCCCTTCCTTCTTCTCTTCCTCCCTCCCTTCCTCTCTTCTTCCCTCCCCTCCTCTCTTCCTCTCCCGCTTCCTCCCTCCCTCCCTCCCTCTCTCCCTCCCTCCCTCCCTCCCTTCCTTCCTCCCTTCCTTCCTCTTCCTTCCTTCCTTCCTTCCTTATCTCCATTTCTTTCTTTCTTTCTTTCTTTTTTTTTGAGACGGAGTCTTGCTCAGTCGTTGCCCAGGCTGGAGTGCGGTGCCGGGATCTCGGCTCACTGCAAGCTCCGCCTCCCGGGTTCCCGCCATTCTCCTGCCTCAGCCTCCTGAGTAGCTGGACTACAGGCCCCCGCCACTACGCCCGGCTAATTTTTTTGTATTTTTAGTAGAGACGGCGTTTCACCGTGTTAGCCAGGATAGTCTCGATCGCCTGACCTCGTGATCCGCCCGTCTTGGCCTCCCAAAGTGCTGGGATTACAGGCGTGAACCACCGGGCCCCACCTCCATTTCTTTCTTTTCTGCTTCTCCTCCCATACCTAAACCAGGAGCAATTAACCAGTATTTTCTCTGTGAGAGATCAGAAGATAAGGGTTGTTTTATCTTCTAAAGAAGAAGGATTGTTTTAGAATAGAACCAAGTTTCTCACTTCATGCCTCCAGCGTTAGAAAACTCATTATTGGGCCAGGCGCAATGGCTCACGCCTGTAATCCCAGCACTTTGGGAGGCCGAGGTGGGCGGATCACGAGGTCAGCAGATCAAGACCATCCTGGCTAACAGGGTGAAACCCCGTCTCTACTAAAAATACAAAAAATTATTCCGGCGAGGTGGCGGGCGCCTGTAGTCCCAGCTGTTCGGGAGGTTGAGGCAGGAGAATGGCATGAGCCTGGGAGGCGGAGCTTGCAGTGAGCCGAGATTGCACCACTGCACCCCAGCCTGGGCGACAGAGCAAGGCTCCGTCTAAGAAAAAAATAAAATAAAATAAAAAAAGAAAACTCATTATTGGCCAGGCGCAGTGGCTCACACCTGTAATCCCAGCACCTTGGGAAGCTGAGGCAGGATAATTGCTAGAGGCCAGGAGTTTGAGACCAGCCTGAGCACCATAGCCAGACCCTGTATGTAGCCAGGCAAAATGGCATGTGCCTATGAAGGGAGGATTCACTTGAGTCCAGGAGGTTGAGGCTGCAGTAAGTGGTGACTGCGCCATTGTCCTCCAGCTTGGGTGATAGAGTGAGACTCTGTCTCAAAAAAAAAAGAAAGAAAAGAAAAAAAAGACCTCATTATTTATATAGATCTAAACCACTGTTAGGTAGAATTTGGGGGAAGGTTCTCTAACCTATTTTTAGTATGGCCAAACCACCCTTTCCTCTTTTCAGATCTTACTGTTTTGTTTGCAGAGAAGGGCTTCAAGGCCAAAAGGCATACTGTGTTAGGGTCTGTGTCAGGCAGACCCTTTTGGGTTCCAAGAACAGAGGAAGATGAGGCTGTGGGAGGGAAGACCATAGGATGATAGAGAATTGGGGCCAGGCACAGTGGCTCATGCCCATAATCCTAGCACTTTGGAAGGTCGAAGCAGATGGATCACTTGAGGCCAAGAGTTCAGGACCAGCCTGGCCAACGTGGCAAAACCCTGTCTCTACTAAAAATACAAAAATTAGCCAGGCATAGTGGTGTACAGCTGTAATCCCAGCTACTCGGGAGGCTGAGGCACAAGAATCACTTGTACCCAGGAGGCGGAGTTTGCAGTGAGCCAAGAATACACCACTGCAGTCCAGCCTGGGAAACAGAGCAAGACTATCTCAAAAAAAAAAAAAAAAAGCCAGGTGCTGTGGTTCATGCCTGTAATCCCAGCACTTTGGGAGGCCAGGCTGGGAGGCTGAGGTGGGAGAATCATTTGAACCTGGGAAGTGGAGGTTGCAGTGACCTGAGATTGCACCATTTGCACTCCAGCTTCGGTGGCAGAGTGAGACTCTGTCTCAGAAAAAAAAAAAAAAAAAAGAATTGAGTTGCAAGGGCCTAGCAAAAGTGCAGCTCCCTGGGCTATAGACTTTGACCTTGTCCAAGTCATTATCCCTCTGCTTCCTTATCTCTCTTTTAATGAAATGAAAACAATAATTATCACTTACCTGTCTCACAGGGTTAGGAGGATTAAATATGAAAGTGTTTTGTGAAGTGTGAAACAGATAAACTACATAGATGAAATATAAAATGACATTTATTCAATTACGCAGCACATACTTCCCCCTATGTTTCTCCTACTGCTAGTGTAGCAGGACGAGCCGCAGACAAAACTCCTCTGACACCAGATTAAAGGAAGAGGTTTTTTATTCGGCCGGGAGCGTCGGCAGACTCGCGTCTTAAGAGCCGAGCTCCCCGAGAGAGAAATACTTGGCCTTTTTAAAGGCTTACAACTTTAAGGGGTCCACGTGAAAGGGTCGTGATAAATCGAGCAAGCATGGGAAACATGACTGGGGGCTACATGCATCAGCTAACAGAACAAAAAGTTTTACAATGCTTTTTTCATACAGTGTCTGGAATTTACAGATAACACAAGTAGTTTAGGCCAGGGGTTGATGTTATTATTATTACTTTGTTTAACTCCTAGGGCCGGGTGGTGGTGCCAAGGTTGTCTGGCTATTTATCTTACTTTTGTTTCTTTCTCCCTTTACTCCTGTCTTGTGAACTAGGCAAGGTGGGGGGAGGAGGGCAGCAGGAGTAGTAGTGGTCTGCTTCCTTACTAGGTTTGGAGAAACATAAAGGATAAGAGTTTTTATCTTTTCATGAACTCAAAAAGCTAGAGGGTACTTTTAGGATAATGGGTAGGATGCAGCCTTCAGACAATGAACCTAAACACAAGAATAGAATTGGTCGAAAGCAGGCTGTGGTTAGGCCACTGAAAGGTGGTCTAGATTGAGTTGCAAGGGGACAGTAACAATCTCAAGATGTCTTTGCCAGGCGCAGTGGCTCACGCCTGTAATCCCAGCACTTTGGGAGGCCAAGGTGGGAGGATCACATGGTCAGGAGTTCAAGACCAGCCTGGCCAATATGGTGAAACCCTGTCTCTACTAAAATACAAAACTTAGCCAGGCATGGGGCAGGCACCTGTACTCCCAGCTACTCGGGAGGCTGAGGCAAGTGAATCGCTTGAACCCGGGAGGTGGAGGTTGCAGTGAGCAGAGATTGTGCCACGGCACTCCAGCCTAAAAATAATCTCGATAGAGTGAGACTTGGTCTCAAAAAAAAGGATCTTTGACCTGGTAGGTGTGCCCCCAACTTTCTTTCCAGTGTGTGTGTTACCAAGGTGAGGGCTGAAGCTGCTCAAATGCTCCATGAGTGGGAGGAAGCTGTGGGATGATGGGGAGGGTTCCCACAAAGATGGAGCCTCGTCAGCCTTTCTCCAGCACCGGAAACCACAGGAAATCAGGTCAGTGTGTGGGGCCCGCTCCCTCCACTCCAGGGCTCAGCTATGAGCTCTGGGGCTTCCTGAGCAGGCTGTACTGACTAGTGGGTCCTTGAAGCTAGGGGCCCCTTTGGTATGGAGCCCTTTGCCTAGAAGAGCTGGACCTGGCTCATGGGTAGAGAGAACTTGGCTATAGTCCTGAGAGTTAACCAGGTGGGAAGCCAGGGTACATATGGGTTTCACGTGCATCCTAGAGTGCTTTTTTTCCTCCCCACTCTAAATGGTGCCTCAGTCACCTCTGTATCTCCAGCACCCAGTGCTGAGTAGTGCTTAAGAGCTCGACTAATTCTCTAAGTGAGGGGGTGAAGCACATGTCTGTGGGAGACACAAGTTCAACAGTGTGCTGATGGGTTGGTCAGATCTGCAGTGTGTTTCAGGAGTAGGAGGGGCTAAGAAATGCGTGCGTCCCCCAACCTGATGCTAGTCCCTTTCCTGTTACTTCTCAGTCACCGCAGGAGCCCCTTGTCTTTCAGGTGGGGGGCAGTAGGGTTTTGGGGGGCACAAGCTTTCCTCAGTCCCTCCACTTGGAGGGGAAGGAATGTGGCCTGGCTGGCTGGTTGGGATCAAGGAGGAGCTTTCAGGCAGGGCGGGGCCAGGGCAGGCTGGGGCGAGGGCTCCTGCTGGTACTGTGTTCTTCGCTGCTGCACAACAAGGCCCTGCCACCCACCTTCAGGCCATGCAGCCATGTTCTGGGAGCCCTAATTGCACAGAAGCCCATGGGGAGCTTCAGACCGTCAGCCCTGCTCCTGCCTCTCCTCCTGGTAGTCATCGACCTCTCTGACTCTGCTGCGATTGGCTGTCCCCACCTGCCCCACTGGAACACCCGCTGTCCTCTGGCCTCCCACATGGTAAGGTGCTGCTGCCAGGTAGGGACACCTGCCTAGCACAGCTATAAAGCTCCCCACTCCCCTGCCCGCCCTGTGCTACCTCTGCAGTCCCTGTGCTCTGGTGGCAGCTTCGATGTGTCCTCTACATAATCTCAAAGGGGTAGCCAAGGTCCTTTGTGCTGACGGCCTGGACAGGGTGGAGCTGGGAAGGTAAGAGCCAGAGGGTATGGGCTATTAGCTATGGGACTCAGAATTCGCTGATTTGAAGCAAAGACCCCAAGAATGCTCCTTATGGGAGTCCGTCCTAATAATAGCTCTCTCCTTTCTTTTCCCTACTGGGCCCTGTGCCTCAGGATGATAGTTTCACTGGTGAGTCGCGTTTCCTGCCCCATTGCTCCTCCCCACGCCCACTATTTCTCCAGATGCCCAGCAAGCCCTCCATTCTAATTTTCGGTTCCCAACCTGGGAAGTACCACAATATCAAGGAAAAAGTTTGGAATCATGACAAGCCTGGATTCACGTTGCAGTTCTGCCAGACTCCCGTGTGGCCTCAGACTGTGCACTTAACCCCTCCAACTAACCCCCAGTTTCTGAGGGGTAGTAGCACAGTAGAAATGATTGTACACTAAAGGCAGTGTTGCTTTTGATCTGTAAGGAGGATTAGATGAGAAACATGGGTAAATCTCCAAGTGCTCCGTATATGTTGGTTCCTCCCCTTAACTGATCCCTCACTTCTATCAATAATACAACAATAATCCTTCCTATTTTATGGTATGTTCTACTTCACAAGACATTTTCCCATGCACTACTATTTTGATTTTTATAACAGACCCGCTTTATGAATGAGGAAACTGATCCTTAGACAGGTCCTATAACCCCCCAAGTCATACTTCCAGGATGTAAGTGACAGAGCTTGGCCTCAAATCCAGCTTGTCTGAGGTAGGAGGGACCTTCTTAGACCCTATCATTTGCTTTCCCTTCCATCTTTCCCAGGAAGTTCTGCCCATATCCCTTGCCGCACCTGGTGGGCCCTCTTCTCCACAAAGCCTTGGTGTGTGCGAGTCTGGCACTGTTCCCGCTGTTTGTGCCAACATCTGCTGTCAGGTCGCTCAGGTACGAGAAACAGGCCCTTGGGCCATTCTCAGTGAAGAGAACATTTTGAGCGACCGCCTAGGCTGAGCAAGTGGGACTTACTAGAATAGATATTTGTCTTGTTGTAACCTCAACGGGGACTTGGATTATCCTAAAATAGCACACTATGACTGATATTCATGAATCCAATTGTACAATTTTATGAAGGTATTTTTTTCAGCTGAGATTCTTGGAATTAAAAGCTATGGATTTATTGTTATTACCATTTATTTGTAAAGCAGGATCTTCTTTCTTACTCTATATTTTAATTGCTCAGCTCAGTGCCTGGTACATACTAAATGCCCTTACATTGCTTAAGAATTGGCAGTTTCTAGGCCAGGCGTGGTGGCTCACACCTGTAATCCCAACACTTTGGGAGGCTGAGGCAGGCTGATCACCTGAGGTCAGGAGTTTGAGACCAGCCTAGTCAACGTGGTGAAACCCCGTCTCTACTAAAGATACAAAAAATTAGCAGGGTGTGGTGGCGGACACCTGTAATCCTAGCTGCTCAGGAGGCTGAGGCAGGAGAATCACTTGAACCCAGGAGGCAGAGGTTGCAGTGAGCCGAGATCGTGTCATTGCACTCCAGCCTGGGCGACAAGAGCAAAACTCCATCTCCAAAAAAAAAAAAAGGCAGTTTCTGGGCCAGGTGTGATGGTTCACACCTGTAATCCCAGCACGTTGGGAGGCTGAGGTGGGTGGATCGCTTGAGTCCAGGAGTTTGAGACCAGCCTGGCCATCATGGCAAAACCCCATCTCTACAAAAAAAAAATACAAAAATTAGCTGGATGTGGTGGTGCATACCTGAAGTCCCAGCTACTTGGGAGGCTGAGGTGGGAGGATCACCTGAATTCAGGAGGTGGAGGTTGCAGTCACTTAAGATAGTGCTACTGCACTCCAGCCTGGATGACAGTGTGAGACCCTGTCTTAAAAAAAAAAAGAACTGGCAGTGTCTAATTTTTCTAAATGTTTGCTGTTAGAAATAATGCCACAGGGCTGGATGCAGTGGCTCATGCCTATAATCCCAGTACTTTGGGAGGCTGAGGCAGGCAGATCACCTGAGGTCAGGAGTTTGAGACCAGCCTGGTCAACATGGTGAAACCCCATCTCTACTAAAAATGCAAAAATTAGCCAGGCGTGATGGTGGATGCCTGTAATCCCAGCTACCCAGGAGGCTGAGGTGAGAGGATTGCTTAAGCCCAAGAGTTCAAGACTGCAGTGAGCAGTGATTGTGCCACTGCACTCCAGCCTGCGTGACAGAGCAAAACCCTGTCAAGGAAGGAAAGAAAGAAGGAAGGAAGGAGGGAAGGAGGGAAGGAGGGAAAGAAGGAAGGGGAGAAAGAAAGAAGGAAAGAGAGAGAGGCAGAGGCTGGTGTGGTGGCTCATGCCTGTAATCCCAGCACTTTGGGAGGCCGAGGCAGGCGGATCACAAGATCAGGAGATCCACACCATCCTGGCTAACATGGTGAAATCCCGTCTCTACTAATTATACAAAAAATTAGCTGGGCATGGTGGCGGGCACCTGTAGTCCCAGCTATTCAGGGGGCGAGGCAGGAGAATCGCTTGAAGCAGGGAGGCAGAGACTGTAGTGAGCCAAGATCGCGCCGCTGCACTCCAGCCTGTGCAACAGAGCGAGACAAATAAAAGAATGATAAAATGAATATCTTTGTATATATAGCTTTTTCTCTGCTTAAGAAATTAATCCTTTCTTTTTTTTTTTTTTTTTTTTTGAGACGGAGTCTTGCTCTGTTGCCCAGGTTGGAGTGCAGTGGCTGGATCCCAGCTCACTGCAAGCTCCGCCTCCCGGGTTTATGCCATTCTCCTGCCTCAGCCTCCCGAGTAGCTGAGACTACAGGCGCCCGCCACCTCGCCCAGCTAGTTTTTTGTACTTTTTAGTAGAGGACGGGGTTTCACCGTGTTAGCCAGGATGGTCTTGATCTTCTGACCTTGTGATCCGCCTGTCTCGGCCTCCCAAAGTGCTGGGATTACAGACTTGAGCCACCGCGCCCGGCCAATCCTTTCTTGACTGCATCATAATTTTCAAAACTAAAGAAGTTTGACATCCTTACCCTCCTTGATTTAAAATGACTTACTATCAGGCGTGGTGGCTCACGCCTGTAATCCCAGTGCTTTGGGAGGCCAAGGTGGGCAGATCACCTGAGGTCTGGAGTTCGAGACCAGCCTGACCAACATGGAGAAACCCCGTCTCCACTAAAAATACAAAATTAGCTGGGCATGGTGGCACATGCCTGTAATCCCAGCCACTCGGGAGGCTGAGGCAGGAGAATCACTTGAACTCGGGAGGTGGAGACTGCAGTGAGGCGAGATCGTGCCATTGCACTTCAGCCTGGGCAACAAAGAGCGAAACTCCGTCATAAAATAAAATAAAATAAAATATAAAAAATAAAATAAAATAAAATAAAATCTTAGTATCTAACCCTGGGCTATATCTCCAGGTAGGGGAGGGGTAATGAAGGCTAGATAGTAAGTATGTCCCCCCCTGCACAGGTCTTCAGTGGGGCTTCTTCCACCTCCTGGTACAGAAATCCAAAAAGTCTTCCACATTCAATTTCTGTAGGAGACACAAGATGCCAGCACCTGCTCAGGTACTCTCCCTTTCAGTTCCAGCCCTACCCAATGCCCCACAGACCTTTGCTTTCTGGCCTCTCATTTGGTTCTCCAGCCATGTGAGACAGAAAGTGTGGAGATGAAGTATTCTGTCTATTACACAGCTAGGGAGGCCAAAAGAGTTTGAGCAGCTGCCACAGTACCTCAGATTCCAGAGGCAGAAACAGAAGCCAGGTTTCCAGATTCCTGGCCCGAGGCCAACCTTTTTCTCTGCCTTTAGAGGAAGCCGCTGCCTAGTCGTCGCCTGTCTGAGAAGAGCCATCACATTTCCATCCCCTCCCCAGACATCTCCCACAAGGGACTTCGCTCTAAAAGGACCCAACCTTCGGATCCAGAGGCATGGGAAAGCCTTCCCAGATTGGACTCACAAAGGCACGGAGGTGGGCACTGGGTACAATAGGAGATGGGTTCAGGAGTGGTGAGGTGCTAAGGCCAAGAGACAAGGCTACTGAGTCCTTCCTCTCCCCAGGGCCCGAGTTCTCCTTTGATTTGCTGCCCGAGGCCCGGGCTATTCGGGTGAACATACCTTCAGGCCCTGAGGTCAGTGTGCGTCTTTGTCACCAGTGGGCACTGGAGTGTGAGGAGCTGAGCAGTCCCTATGATGTCCAGGTATGGCGTGTCATCCCCTGTAAAAAGCCCGATCACACAGTACTAGCAACAGAGGCCACCCATTGTACACATGGGGAAACTGAGGCCCAGAAAGGGACGGTAACTGTCCAGGACCTCCTTACAAGCTGAAGGGTCTATCATTAAGACTTCTTTGGGCATGGCATGGTGGCTCACACCTGTGGTCCCAGCACTTTGGGAGGCTAAGGCAGGAGGATTGCTTGAAGCCAGGAGTATAAAACCAGCTTGGGCAACATAGTGAAACCCTGCTGCTAAAAAAAAAAAAAAAAAAAAAAAAATTAAAAGAAAGACTTCTTTGGACTAGACAGAAAGGGCAGAGGGCCTTGTCACCTGGAAGAACAGGAAAGGCAGGCAGAGAACTGGAGCAGACATGAATGACCATGAATGAGCAGAGAAATTAGTATGGTATTTACCCCTAATGAGAGGATCCTCAGTGTGATTTAGGCATTAAGAAGCCTTTTCTTGAGCTTTAAGTTAGTGACAAGTAAGAGAAAATAATTGTTAATTAAAAAATTAAAAAGCCTTTTCAGCTCCCCTAAGAGGTTGTACCGTTTGAGAACATAACAAAATGGTCACATCTGTCTTACCCTTCCATCTCCCTCCCTTTGTTCCTGCCACTCAGAGAATGATATGTCCCCCATTCTCCCAACCTGGGCCCCAACATCCCACCTCAACCTCCCTTTGTCATGGATGCCATTGTATACAGTTGGTACCATTTGCAGGGACTGCTGCTGTACCCCTGAGACCCTCAGCTCATCATTTTTATAACGGTGAGGATACCTCATAAGTTCACTGTGATGCTAGCATGGAGTGAATTGATTTAATGCTTCTAGCACTCACCACACACCCTGGCATAGAGTAGGGCCACAATAAAGGAATGTATTCCCTGTCTCCTTCCCCGCAACTCCACCTAGAGTACCTAGAGCTAATGCTTAGATTACTAAGCAGACAACCTTTGAGAGATTTATCAGAAGAGGTATCTCATATAAGAGGAAAAACAGGGTGTGTTGGCCAAGATCCCAGCGCTGTTCTGCCCTTGTCTGTGTGCCTATGCTCTTTCTCAGGCATCTTTTGTCTTCCCCTGTTGTTTCATCCACAGAAAATTGTGTCTGGGGGCCACACTGTAGAGCTGCCTTATGAATTCCTTCTGCCCTGTCTGTGCATAGAGGTGAGCAAAGGAAAAGGTGTGGGCTGTCCATGGCTCTGCTCCTAAGTCGCCAAGGTGGCACAGTTGGTCAAGTATATCTCCAGTAAACTGGGTTTAAAAAGGACTGAGTGTTACTGGCATGCTTAGGAAGAGTGGCAGCAGCTTGGCTGTGAGCCACACACGGGGTCAGAGGTGGAAGGGTGCTGCTGAACATTGGACCTTCTTAGGGTGATTCCAACCTCAGCCCCATCCAAACCCAGCTTTCCCTGGCCCAGACCTGGCCTCAGCCCACAGAGCCAGAATAGGCAGCTGTCATCGCTATGTGTTCTGAGGAGTCGAGGAAGGAGTGTGTACATGGCCACTGCAGGGTTCCATATGCCCCCAAAAGTCTTGCCCCCTCTAGGCCTCTGTGGCAGTCCTCCTTTTCTCTTTACAAGTCTAAGGAACATATCAGAAAGTTTTCTATGGACTAGACAGAAAAGGCAAGGGAAATTGTCACCGGGGAGACCTAAGGGAGGATGATGGCAGAGACCTAGAGCCACGAGCAATTGCCAGGGTGGACAGCAGGTGGGCATGTTGGCATTCCAGAGTCAGGAGCTAACACAGAGCACTGGGTGCCTTGGGGATGGCTGAGAGTGGAGGCCAGAGAAGACCAAAACTGAGGAATGCAACCTCAGGATTTACTTCTTTCTGGGGATAGTTCTCTTTAGGAGGAAAGGAATTAGCCCCTCACTTGCTTATCCCTCTCCTATGCTCTGGAGTTCCTCCCTACCCTTGCCCCCACCCCACATTGCCCCCTCCCACTCGGTGCCTGGCCAGCTCAGGCAGCTTGCGTCACAGTAAGGTAAAGCCAGAATGAGTTTTAGGTCTGAGTGAGATTGGAAAAGCCATTCCTCTGACCCTCCCCACCTGCTCCCCTGTCCCCCTAGGCATCCTACCTGCAAGAGGACACTGTGAGGCGCAAAAAATGTCCCTTCCAGAGCTGGCCGGAAGCCTGTGAGTGCTGCTGACATGCACCCTTGTGCACATACATTCCCTTTCTCTTTCTGTCTCCTACACACACATGCACGCACACACACACACCACACTTCACACGTTTGCTGGGGGAAGCCCCCAGAAGGCATACAGGTACTTCCCTGGAGTCAGTGAGGAAAAGGGCTGCCAAGTCTACCAGTCAGCTTGCCAATAGATCAGAGAGCACTGAGCACTGAGGCACTGTGAGAAGTTCAGAAATAGGAGGCCTAGGAGATGGTGTCCTAAAACGATGGGCCAGAAGACCCAGTTCCCATCCCAGCTCTGTCAGTTGTTCTTCTCTGAGCCTCACTTTCCTCATCTGTAAAATCTCAATACCTGCTCTGCCGTCAAAGCGTTTGTGAAGCCTGAGTTAAATATTACATGTGAAAGTGGCTGGTGATGTCTGAAGTGCTGTATGCATGTTGTTCTCAAGGAGAGGCAGGACACTCGGACACAAGTGAATCGCATAAAGCAGCCTACAGAACTTACAGGGCAGGGTTATAGTTAAGGTGTAGTAGGGCAAGAACTCCGGAAAGGGAGAAGCCCCAGAAGGGCCATTGTAAGCAGAGAAGGCCTCTTAAAGGGAGTGGCATCTGAGCTGGGGTCAGAAAAAGGGCAGGATTTAGACAGGAGAGATAGAAGGGGAAGACATTCCTGGTTCTGAGAGGACCCTAAGCAGATTTTGAGTTGGAGGAGAAGCAAGGAGCTGGCCAGAATGGAGGCCTGGGAAGGAGAGAAGAGAGACCCTGGATAGAAAGATAATGAAGCCAGGCGCAGCGGCTCATGCCTATAATCCCAGCACTTTGGGAGGCCGAAGCGGGCAGATCACCTGAGGTCAGGAGTTTGAGACGAACCTGGCCAACATGGTGAAACCCTGTCTCTACTAAAAATACAAAAAATTGGCTAGGCATGGTGGTGCGCGCCTGTAGTCCCAGCTACTCGGGGGGTCAAGACAGGAGAATTACTTGAGCTCGGGAGGCGGAGGTTGCAGTGAGCCGAGATCACACCACTGCACTCCAGCCTGGGTGACAGAATGAGACTCCATCTCAAAAAACAAAAACAAAAAACAGAAAGGTAATGAAAGGGGGCCGGGCGTGGTGGCTCACACCTGTAATCTCAGCACTTTGGGAGGCCGAGGTGGGTGAGTCACAAGGTCAGGAGTTCATGAGGTCAGGAGACCAGCCTGGCCAACATGGTGAAAACCCACCTCTACTAAAAATACAAAAATCATCTGGGCTTGGTGGCTCACACCTGTAATCCCAGCTACTGAGGCATGAGAATCACTTGAACCCAGGAGGCAGAGGTTGCAGTGAGCCAAGATCGCACCACTGCACTCCAGCCTGGGAGACAGAGTGAGACGCTGTCTCAAAAAAGAAAAGACAGATAATGAAAGGGATGCTCATTGATTGAGTACCTGTTCAGGCCAGGAACAGTACTGGTTACTTTTACAAACATCATCTCCTGCTGCCCCCAGGATGTGGGTGGCAAGGTGGGGCTGAAGCAGGGCTGACCCTCACCCACTGACCCTACCACCTGCCCAGATGGCTCGGACTTCTGGAAGTCAGTGCACTTCACTGACTACAGCCAGCACACTCAGATGGTCATGGCCCTGACACTCCGCTGCCCACTGAAGCTGGAAGCTGCCCTCTGCCAGAGGCAAGACTGGCATACCCTTTGCAAAGACCTCCCAAATGCCACGGCTCGAGAGTCAGACGGGGTGAGGACAGGTTCCCCCAGGACCAGGGTGGGCAGGACTGGGGCCCAGGAATTTTCTCCCTGATGAACTCTTCTCTCCTCCCACAGTGGTATGTTTTGGAGAAGGTGGATCTGCACCCCCAGCTCTGCTTCAAGGTACAACCATGGGTGAGAAGAGATGTGGGGTAGTGGGTATTGCCTGGAGCTTGCTAACCTGCATTCCTATATTTCTCAGTTCTCTTTTGGAAACAGCAGCCATGTTGAATGCCCCCACCAGACTGGTAAGCCAATAAGTGACCTCTGCTGGGAACCCCTGCCCCATTTCATCCTCACCCAACTGTGACCAAGCTGAACCCCAGCCCAGCCCTGAATTCATCACCCGAAGCCCAACTCCTATCAACACCCCCACCCTGCCCCAAACAGGGTCTCTCACATCCTGGAATGTGAGCATGGATACCCAGGCCCAGCAGCTGATTCTTCATTTCTCCTCAAGAATGCATGCCACCTTCAGTGCTGCCTGGAGCCGCCCAGGCTTGGGGCAGGACACTTTGGTGCCCCCTGTGTACACTGTCAGCCAGGTATGGCCTCGCCCCCACTAGGTCCTATTGCTCAGAGCACAGCCCTCAATTTCCTTGTCACCTCATTGAGATAGACCCTGGGAAGGCAGAAACAAACAAATCCCTGACTTCTACCATCTGGTTTACTTTATTTACGTGATCAGCCTTTGTTCAGCTGACTTGCTGACAGTAGATTCCTCAAGGGAGCATTTTCCTTTTTTTTTTTTCTTTTGAGACGGAGTCTCGCTCTGTCGCCCAGGCTGGAGTGCAGTGGCACGATCTCGGCTCACTGCAAGTTAAGGGAGCATTTTCTAATCCTTTCAGTTTCTGAATTTACAGGAATAACAGAGGCAAGGGACTGGCCCTCCCACATTCAGGTGTTCTCTAGCCCAGGGGTCCCAATCTCTGAGCCGCAGACCAGTACCCACCTGTGGCTTGTGAGAAACCAGGCCACACAGCAGGAGGTGAGTGGAGGGTGAGCAAGCATTGCTGCCTGAGCTCCACCTCCTGTCAGACCAGTGGCTGCATTAGATTCTTATAGGAGCGCAAACCCTATTGTGAACTGTGCATGTGAGGGATCTAGGTTGTGAGCTACTTATGAGAATCTAATGCCTGATGATCTGAGGTGGTTTCATCCTGAAACCATTCCCCCAACCCCAACCCCTTCAACCTCTGTGTAAAACTTTTCTTCCATGAAACCAGTCCCTGGTGCCAAAAAGGTTGGGGACCACTGCTCTAGCCTAACAAAACAACATTTTATATTGATGCCCTCCCTTGAACCCAGCTGTCCACTACCACTACTCTCCTGCCTCCACGAGGCACCTGTGCAGAAGTTATCTATCCCAGGAGGCAGAGCCCATGCAGCTGACAGGCTCTGCACAATCCTGTAAACTACTGACAAATTTCACCTGTTACATGACTAGGAGCACTTTATCAGACTATCTTCCATGTATCTGATATAAAAACCACAGTCAAATACACCCTTAATACCACAGCACCAAGCTGACTAAGCATGACTAGCACTTTCAAACAGTTATTTCTTAAATGCTCACTTGCAGCTTATACGTTTGTTTTGCATTGTATGAGGGCTCCCAAGCAGACAGGTGATAGTAACACGGTATATAAGACCAAGTCACGCTTAAGATGGCCAGGTGCAGTGTCTCACACTTGTAGTCCCCACTGAGGCAGGAGAACTGTGTGAGCTCAGGAGTCCAAGGCTGCAGTGAGCTATGATCATGCCACTGCACTCCAGCCTGGGTGACAGCATGAGACTCGGACTCTAAAAAAAAAATGTTTTTAATTAAAATTCTGTCCAATTTAGTATGCATTGTTCCCACCCTGTAGCAGGCTCTGGGAGATACAAGAAAAGTATATAACACAGTTAAGGAGTTCACAGACTAATAATAGCTGTTACCAATACATGAATATACATTGCAGTTTATTTAAAAAGATATTCATGTGCATATACCCATTTGATGCTCTCAATAACCCAGTAAAATAAAGATTATTATCCCTCACATAAAAACCAAGAAAGTAGGCCAGGCGCAGTGGCTCACGCCTATAATTCCAGCATTTTGGGAGGCTGAGGCAGGCAGATCACCTGAGGTCAGGTGTTTAAGACCAGCCTCACCAACATTGCAAAACCCGTCTCTACTAAAAATACAAAAATTAGCTGGGCGTGGTGGCGTGCACCTGTAATCCCAGCTACTCAGGAGGCTGAGGCAGGAGAATAGCTTGAACCCAGGAGGTGGAGGTTGCAGTGAGCCGAGATTGTGCCAGTGCACTCCAGCCTGCATGACAGAGCGAGACTCTGTCTCAAAAAATAAATAAATAAACATAAAAAAATAAAAATAAAAATGAGGAAAGTGAGGCTTAGGAAAGAGAGATAACCTGCCTCCATGCAAAGACCACACAGTTAGGGACTACAAAGGCAATAGGTAAGCCTGAACCCAGGTCTCCTGACCCTAAAACTTACATTCTTTTCAATGACATGTTGTGATACCTCTTCAGCTGTGCAGGAGAGTAAAGTGAGGCAGCCTTCCTGGTTTGTGAGCTGCTAGAGGACAAAGACAATGTCCGCACCCGCCTTCTTTCCTCAGGGCTTGGCACAGAGGACATACTCAGAGTCTGTCTGTTTGACAAACACCTGACTGCAGCAGGAGCTGAACTCTGGGAAAGATCAGTGTGAGCCGGAGTGGCTGAGGAAGCCTTCTTGTCAGAGGTGGCACTTGGCCTAAACCTCGTAGCACTGGGGGTATGGTGGGGAGGAATAGCAGGGGCAAAGACTCAAGGCCAGACAGGGCCAGATTCACCTCCCTCAGGAGAGCCTTTCTGATCTTTGTTTCTACAGGCCCGGGGCTCAAGCCCAGTGACACTAGACCTCATCATTCCCTTCCTGAGGCCAGGGAGCTGTGTCCTGGTAAGGAAACCTACTCTCACTCTACATACAGAGCCCTGGCATCTACTCCCCTGGTAGCACTCACCCGTGGAAAATCCATTCTGCAAAAATGTTTGGTTTGGCCAGCACGGTGTTTTGAATCGAAATTACTTACCGCCATTTACATATATAAACAAAGCTGGATTTCTGACTTCTGTTGAAAAATCAGAAAAACCTAGTGCCGGGTGTCCGCACTCTGGCATGGTGACAATGGCCTGGAGCTCAGCGCCGTCTGATTGTTTCAGTCAGGGCCTGTGCTCTCCAGGTGCTCACAGCAGCCCTGGTCAACTTTGAGTTTACTTTTCGAGTTTGGCCCCTGTCACACTTGAGTTTGCCACCATTGCCCTGTGCTGTGCCAGGCCAGGAGCTGGAGCAGACACAAACCCACCTGGGAAGAATTTCCTAGCCAGTGGGAACTCCCCTCTCCCCCAGCTCCACACTTCACTCAGCTCCCTGGGGAGGAGAATATGCCTGGTTCATAGGGCTGGGGAACTCTGTGCCCTCAGGTGTGGCGGTCAGATGTCCAGTTTGCCTGGAAGCACCTCTTGTGTCCAGATGGTGAGTTCTTGGGGAGGGGGAGGTAAGAGGGAGGCTGGGCACTGAGGAACTGGGCTTGGCCTCACCCTGCTTGACTCAGTCTCTTTCAGACGTCTGGGGCTCTTGATCCTGGCACTGCTGGCCCTCCTCACCCTACTGGGTGTTGTTCTGGCCCTCACCTGCCGGCGCCCACAGTCAGGTAAGCTCACCTGGGGGTAACCTGAGTAGTCAGACCTGCCCAGCTCCGAGGCTAGCTGCCCCCTCACCCTCCCCTGTCTGAGCTCTTTGCACTGCACCCAGTCTCTTGTTACCCAGGCAGGGATCCTCAGGCCCCCAAGTGGGCAGGAATGGTTAAGGCAGGGCAAAGGGCCCTCTGAGCAGATTGTCACTGTACTAAGTCTCTGGACAAAAGGCTAGTGGGGCAGAAATCCAGACTGCGCTGTACTCAGCCTGGAGCCCTAGCCCTCTTTTCAGAAGGGGTGCCTTTATCTAATTAGCCCATAGGCTAGGGCTGCTTTTGGTACCAACCCCCAGAGCAAACAAGGGGCGGGGCCGGAGAGGCGAGAACCTTCGGTATCCGGAGAGGCTGGGGAGGAGAGGGCTGAGTAGTCTCTCAGCCCCCACCCCTTCATCTGTTGCTCCCCGCCACTAGGCCCGGGCCCAGCGCGGCCAGTGCTCCTCCTGCACGCCGCGGACTCCGAGGCGCAGCGGCGCCTGGTAGGAGCGCTGGCTGAACTGCTGAGGGCAGCGCTGGGCGACGGGCGCGACGTGATCGTGGACCTGTGGGAGGGGAGGCACGTGGCGCGCGTGGGCCCACTGCCGTGGCTCTGGGCCGCGCGGGCGCGCGTAGCGCGGGAGCAGGGCACGGTGCTGCTGCTGTGGAGCAGCGCCTGCCTTCGCCCGGCCCGCGGCCCCGACCCCCGCGCCACGCCCCTGCTCGCCCTGCTCCACGCTGCCCCGCGCCCGCTGCTGCTCGCTTACTTCAGTCGCCTCTGCACCAAGGGCGACATCCCCCCGCCGCTGCGCGCCCTGCCTCGCTACCGCCTGTTGCGCGACCTGCCGCGCCTGCTGCGGGCGCTGGAAGCGCGGCCTTCCGCAGAGGCCACCAGCTGGGGCCGCCTCGGTGCGCAGCAGCGCAGACGGAGTCGCCTAGAGCTGTGCAGCCTGCTGGAACGAGAGGCCGCCCGACTAGACCTAGGTTGAGCAGAGCTCCACCGCAGTCGCTAGTTTCTGCGGCCGCAATGCAACGGACACTGGCTAGAACCCCGGAATGAGCCTTAGACCCTGGAATCCTTGGGGTGCCTCGAGGACGACTGGCCGAAAAGCCTTATTCCCTGCCTCACAAGCCGGAAGTCCCAGCCCAGTCCCCGCGCGCGTCCCTCTTCCTCCTCATGCTTTCCCTTGACTGAGAGCTCCTCTAACCCCTGTTCTGATGGGGGAGGGCGGTCTTCCCACTTCCTCTCCAGAACTCCAGAAAGAGCAGTGTGCTTATGCTCCAGTCCAGGCTGGAGAGGTTGGGGCCGGGGTAGGGAGGCAGGAGCCATGTCAGTTCTGAAGGAGGGTGAGGGGGTGTGGGGGGGCGGGGGACAGCTGAGAGAAAACCGCCTTGGGGGCCAGGGATTCCCTTTCCACACTGAGGCTCTGCCCAGTGGGAGAGAGGACTCCGGACCTAGGAAAAGAGGCTTTTGGCTCTGGGTGTTAAGGACAATGGGAGTTGGGGGTGGGATGGGTGGTTGCTGGCGGTGGGGACCAAGATCCGGAAAGATGAATAAAGACAAACATGACAAACTAAAAAACACAGTGTGCTTCTCTAGTGTGGCTGAGGAGCCTGCCTGGGGGGTATGTGTCAGTATGCTGGCCCAAATCCTCCGTGTCTACACCACGTGGCATCCGTCACATTCTTACAAGCAATGCCTCTGAAAGCAAAGGACGATGGGGCAATCTCCTTGATCCCCCCAGTGATTCTTACAAGAGGAGAGAGAAAAACAGAGCCTTTGCCAGCTGGTGTGTCCATCATCACAGAACCGGCCCACAGCAACAGCACAGATGGGACCCCTGTCTGCCAGGCTCTGGGTCCTGGGTTCCTTCTACTCCCCATACCGCATTTCAGCAGGCAGTGGTGAAAAGCCCACTTTGTGGTGCCCTTTGGCGGTGCTTTTAGAGCTCCTGTCCCACAAAGGGTTACTGAGGCCCAAAGAGTGTGTGAGGGGACCGAGTGTGCCTAGTAAGGGGAGACCTAGTGGGCCCAGGACTCCAGGGCTGTGTCCGCCTTAGGGCTGGAGTGAGTAAGAGCTCCCTTACTCAGCCATGATGCATTCGCTGTCTTCTTCAGGGGCCCCTCCCAGCCAGGTGTCAGCAGAGGGAGAGGAGAGCCAAAGAAGGAGGAGGTGGGGCCACCACCCTAGTCCAAGGCTGCTGGCTCCCAAGCCTGGTGTTGGTGGGAGGGACAGAGAGGGGCGGGAACAGTCGGCTGCCTGCCGGGAGCCAAAACGAAACCATTCTGGACTGGAAGTAGGACGAGAGTTGGAACTCGCAGGACAGGGAGTGCACAAACTATCCAGCACAGCCCCCTCTGCCCCCTCTGGAGGCTGGGGAGGGATTCCAGCCCCTGCCACCCACAGACACGGGCTGACTAGGGTCAGGGGTAGGGTGTCTGCCCCCCTTAGGGGGGGCAGCACAGGGCCTCAGGCCTGGGTGCTGCCTGGCATCTAGAAGATGCCTGTGCCCTGGTTCTTGCTGTCCTTGGCACTGGGTCGAAGCCCCATTGTCCTTTCTCTGGAGAGGCTTGTGGGGCCTCAGGACACTACCCACTGCTCTCCGGTGAGTCTGGAACCCTGGGGAGATGGGGGAAGGCTCAGAGTTCAGTTCTTGGCTCAGCAAAGCCCTAGCCTGGCTCCTGTCACTGCTGCCACCGCCAGAACTGCCCTGTCTGGTCTGTCTGGTACTGATGGGAGAAGAGAAGAATGGGGAAGGGGCAAGAGCTGGGTCTGTCTTCCTCTGGGAGGGTCTGGGAATACGGAGCCCCAGAAAAAGGTAGGTGGAGGTCTCAGGCAAAGAACAGTGCCTAGAAGGTGGGGGAACAAATTCTGACTCTCCTTTCCTTCCTTCCCAGGGCCTCTCCTGCCACCTCTGGGGTAAGTATCCCTACTTTTTTTTTTTTTTTTTTTTTTTGAGACGGAGTCTCGCTATGTCACCCAGGGTGGAGTGCAGTGGCCGGATCTCAGCTCACTGCAAGCTCCGCCTCCCGGGTTTTTACGCCATTCTCCTGCCTCAGCCTCCCAAGTAGCCGGGACTACAGGCACCCACCACCTCGCCCGGCTAGTTTTTTGTATTTTTTAGTAGAGAGGGGGTTTCACCGTGTTAGCCAGGATGGTCTTGAACTCCTGACCTCGTGATCCGCCCGTCTCGGCCTCCCAAAGTGCTGGGATTACAGGCTTGAGCCACCGCGCCTGGCCAGTATCCCTACTTTTAAAAAGAATTTCCCAGGTTGGCTGAAGGGAGCAGAGCTGTCCCCCAGGTCCATGCCCTCCATGTCCACCTCAGCCCCAGAGAGCCAAGTTCTTTGGCTCTCTGGGTATGTCAGGTGCCACCAAATTCTGGGCTTGGAACAGCTTCAGCTCCCACCCACCCCTCCACACACAGACAGTGACATACTCTGCCTGCCTGGGGACATCGTGCCTGCTCCGGGCCCCGTGCTGGCGCCTACGCACCTGCAGACAGAGCTGGTGCTGAGGTGCCGCAAGGAGACCTACTGTGACCTCTGTGTGCGTGTGGCTGTCCACTTGGCCGTGCATGGTGAGCAAGTCATCCTGTGACAATGCATGTGAGTGTGTCTGGGGTGGGCATGAGAGCCAGGGAATCTCTCAGGCAGTGCTGGGCATCCTCAGTGTTCTCCTGGAGGACACCAGCAGAAGGACTCCCAGGCCAGTGTGGTCTCCCCAGCCTCTGCTTCCCAGCACTGGGCTTTCCAGAAGGAAGCCAACCCCAAAGCCAGTCAGCCCAGAGCAGGGGGCCTCACCCAGGGCCTTGCTCTTGGGTCCTTCTAGGGCACTGGGAAGAACCTGAAGATGAGGAAAAGTTTGGAGGAGCAGCTGACTCAGGGGTGGAGGAGCCTAGGAATGGTGAGGAGAACCTGGCTGGCCCAAGTGCCCCATGCCAAGGCCTGGCCTGCCACTCCTGGGCCTGACCGACCCCTGCCCTGTTGCCCACAGCCTCTCTCCAGGCCCAAGTCGTGCTCTCCTTCCAGGCCTACCCTACTGCCCGCTGCGTCCTGCTGGAGGTGCAAGTGCCTGCTGCCCTTGTGCAGTTTGGTCAGTCTGTGGTATGCAAAATAATAATAATAATAACCTTCTAAACCTAAAATCCAATAAAACACTTTCACATGCATTATCTCTTTGAGGATTACAAAAGAATTAAATTTATTGAAACCCTTCAGTACCAGGCATTACAGTCAGTGTTTTACAGGTATCAACTTATTTCTCACAACAGCCATGTGAGGTGGGACTATTCTTTTGATTCTGATCAGCGCTGTGGCCAAGTCCCTTCAGCCTGTTATGCCTCAGCCTTTATGTCTGTAAAATGGGGATAAGAATAGTTCTACTTCATATGCTTGACTATGAGAAATCACCAAGCAGTTTTCCTGGGTGCTTCTACTATTTTACCCTCCCACCAGCAGTGTATGGGAGTTTTAGTTGCTTCCCATCTTTGCCAGCACTTGATGGTGTGATTTTATTTTATTTTTAAATTAAATATATTTGAATTTTAAGTATATGGAACCCTCCATGAATTTGCATGTCATCCTCAGGCAGGGGCCATGCTAATCTTTTCTGTATTGTTCCAGTTGTAGTATATGTGGTGCCAAAACAAGCATAGTGTTGTAATTGTAATAATTTTACTGCATATGTAGCGGTTTATCATTGTGGTTTTAATTTGTATCTCCCAATGACTGATGAAGTTGAGCACTTTTTTCACATGCTTATTGGCTATTTGTGTAACTTCCTTGTGAAACATCTCTTAAAGATTTTTTTTTTTTTTTTTTTTTTTGCCACATAAAAAAAGAATAGTCCTCGCCGGGCATGGTGGTTCACGCCTGTAATCCCAGCACTTTGGGAGGCCGAGGCGGGCAGATCACGAAGTCAGGAGATCGAGACCATCCTGGCTAACACAGTGAAACCCCGTCTCCACTAAAAAAATACAAAAAATTAGCTGGGCATGGTGGCGGATGCCTGTAGTCCCAGCTACTCGGGAGGCTGAGGCCGGAAAATGGCGTGAACCCAGGAGGCGGAGCTTGCAGTGAGCCGAGATCCCGCCACTGCACTCCAGCCTGGGTGACAGAGAGAGACTCCGTCTAAAAAAAAAAAAGAATAGTCCCACCTCATATGACTGTTATGAGAATTAAATTAAGTTGATACCTGTAAAACACTGGATGTAATGCCTGGCACTGAAGAATTTCGATAAATTTAATTCTTTTGTAATCCTCAAAGCTACCTGATGAACTAGGTATTATTATTATCCTCATTTTCCAGATAGAGAAAGTGAGGCTTGAAAAGGGGAGGTCTGTGGGCTGGATGCACTTCTCTGTACTCTTGGACCAAAAGAAGAGTCCTACTATACATAGCATGGTATACTTACCATGGTGTAAGTACCATGGAGCAGGGTGTTGGGGCTTCTCCCTGCCTCAGGAGGCCACATGTGCTTGGAAGATCTATTTCCACTGGGGTCAAATCACTCAAACCCTCCAACCTCCAGCTGCCAGCCAATATCCTTTTATCTGGAGAACTGTAGATTGGGAGAACATCTGCTTGGTCCATGTCACAAGCAGTTGTAAGGAACACTGAGGCACTGGGTTGAATGGGAGAACCACTTCTGTGGGGAAGGGTGTCCCATATTGCGCTGGGGTGTCTCATCTCCTTAGCTTTGGCCAGGTGATCTAGCACAGCAGGGTGGGGCAGGGATTTAAATGTCTAGGGCCTTTTCCCGTCCTGGTGACACTCTTACTGAGGACATTTGCTTTAGAACTGAGGCCCCTTGAAGGAAAGGTGAATGGTAGATTTCAGGCTATACAGTATAAATACAGTCATTGGTTGTGGGAGAAGGGCAGTGAGCAGAGTGGTCCCTGCAGATGATCCCACAGCCCTTGGCCTGGATCTGAGCCCTGCACCACCAGCCTTCCCCACCCCTCTCCTCACAGGGCTCTGTAGTATATGACTGCTTCGAGGCTGCCCTAGGGAGTGAGGTACGAATCTGGTCCTATACTCAGCCCAGGTACGAGAAGGAGCTCAACCTCACACAGCAGCTGCCTGGTAAGTGGACCCCCAAGTCCTGGCCCCATAGCCTCTGTCCCCCTTGGTCACTCTCCCTCCTGCTTTCACCTTCTTCTGCCTCCATCCACTCTCTGGCAGGGGTCTGTGCTCTAATCCTTCCCAGAGTCAGTCCCTCGGGCCTTCTCTCCCTGGGTCACATGGCTTTCCAGCCCCTGGGGAAGGTGCTTTGAGCATTGGATAGATGTGGGTGGTATGTAGGGGATGGGGAGCCATTCTTAATGCCCTCCTGGGAGTCAGATTGCCCCCACTTCTTTCCTCGGCCCCCAGCCCCACTGGAGGCTCTTCTGTGATCTCTCCCCAGACTGCAGGGGGCTCGAAGTCCGGAACAGCATCCCGAGCTGCTGGGGTAGGGGCTAGGGCCAGTGGGCTGGGAGGAGGGAGGGGCAGGGTCTAGAGTATGAGAGACCCTTGGAGTCCACTTCTGATATGGGCTGCCACATCTCAGAAGCTCACAGAACACATTCATTCATTCATTTATTCATTCATTCATTCATAACACATTAATTGCAGTATCTGCTCCTCTGTGCTAAGCACTGGGAATAGAAAGATGAATTTTGGGTCAGGCTCAGTGGCTCACGCCTGTAATCCCAGCACTTTGGGAGGCCAAGGTGGGAGGATTGCTTGAGCTCAAAAGTTCGAGACCAGCCTGGGCAACATGGCAAAACCCCGTCTTTACCAAAAACACAAAAATTAACAGGGCATGGTGGTGTGCATTTGTGGTCCCAGCTACTCATGAGGCTGAGGCAGGAGAATCGCTTGAGCCTGGGAGGCAGAGGCTGCAGTAAGCCGAGACTGCACCATTGCACTACAGCCTGGGTGACAGAATAAGACTCTTGTCTCAAAAAACAAAAAACAAAGAACAAAAAACTTGAAATAAAAGCTAAGAAAGTCAAGGGTCTGACTTTTTTCCCATGTACTATTTGGATTTTGCTTTGGTTTTATATTTTCTTCTTTATTGTGTATAACATACATACATAAAAGTATGTAAAGGGTACTGATTTTCATGTCCAGTTCTTTTTTTTTTTTTTGGCGGAGTCTTGCTCTGTCACCCAGGCTGGAGTGTAGTGGTGCGACCTCAGCTCACTACAACCTCCACCTCCTGGGTTCAAGTGATTCTTCTGCCTCAGCCTCCCAAGTAGCTGAGATTACAGACATGCACCACCATACACAGCTAATTTTTGTATTTTTAGTAGAGATGGGGTTTCACCATGTTGGCCAGGCTGGTCTTAAACTCCTGACCTCGTGATCCTCCCGCCTTGACCTCCCAAAGTGCTGGGATTACAGGCGTGAGTCGAGGCCTCCAGCCAATTCATTTTTATGTATGTATACACTTGCATAACTAGCACCCAGATCAATACATAAATACTGTGATGTTTTCTGAATTACTAAATTTTTTCAACTTCATTTTCTTTTTGGCTTCTTAAAATTAAAGTTGGCCTGCCTCTTTGGCAACTCATTAAAGACTATTCAACACCAGAGTTTTAAAAACACAGATATATATCATGCATTTCATTTCTTCCTTCATTAAGTAGACATTGATTCATTTATTCAACAGATATTTATTAATTTCTGTGTACCAGGCAAATCCCTGGACACTGGAAATATTAATAAATCAATAAATCAAGATGACAAAAAACCCCGACCCCATGGAACTGGTGTCAGGGTCAGGGTGGGGGTGAGGAAGGACACAACAAACACATGGAGATGTGAAGAATGCAGGAAGTTAGACAGTGATTAGCACTAAGGAGAACATTTGTGGAAGGGGTGGGAAAGGTTGGGAGTGGCAGAGGTCAGGGATGGTCTCACTCTGGTGAGCAGAGACCTGAAAGAGGTGAGAGAGGAGCCACATATCTGAGGGAAGAGAGAATAGCCAGCACAAAGGGCCTGGGGTGGGAGTATGTCAGGGGTGTTTAAGAAATAGTAAGAAGGGGGCCAGGCGTGACGGCTCACGCCTGTAATCTCAGCACTTTGGGAGGCCGAGGTGGGCGGATCACGAGGTCAGGAGATCCAGACCATCCTGGCTAACACGGTGAAACTCCGTCTCTACAAAAAATACAAAAAAGTTAGCCGGGCGTGGTGGTGGGTGCCTGTAGTCCCAGCTACTCGGGAGCCTGAGGCAGGAGAACGGCGTGAACCCCGGGAGGCGGAGCTTGCAGTGAGCCAAGACTGTGCCACTGCACTCTAGCCTGGGTGACAGAATGAGACACTGTCTCAAGAAAAAAAAAAAAGAGAGAGAGAAATAGTAAGGAGGTCCTTAATAACACTGCAGCAGAGTTATTAAGGACACAAGTGCCATAGGCTGCACGTGGTGGCTCACGTCTGCAATTCCAGCACTTTGGGAAGCTGAGGCAGGAGGATTGCTTGAGGTCAGGAGTTCAAGACCAGCCTGTCCAACATGAACGAAACCCCATCTCTACCAAAAATACAAAAATTAGCCAGGCGTGGTGACACATGCCTGTAATCCCAGTTACTCGGGTGGCTGAGGCAAGAGAATCACTTGAATCCAGGAGGTGGAGGTTGCAGTGAGCTATCGCACCACTGTACTCCAGCCTGGGCAACAGAGTGAGACTGCCTCTCAAAAAAAAAAAAAAAAAAAAAAAAAAAAAAAAAAAGGACACAAGTGTCAAGAGGTGAGATCAGAAAGGTCACAGTTGACTTGTTTTAAATGACTTGTTTTAAAGAGGTTACAGATCTTTCTGGCTGCAGAGGGAAAATAGCTGTCCTCAGACCACACACTAGGGCCTCCGCAGGCTTAGCTCTGGGCAGCTGCTAGGGGCAAAGTCTGGTCTGAGGTGAGGACACACGCTCTGTCCTCCAAGAGCCTCCCAGTCTAAGGGGGTTGAAAGAAACTCCAAAGGGTCAGTCAGGTATGCAGAAGAGGTGAGGAAGTCTAAGCTGTGCTCTCTCTCTTTGCCTCTCCCACCAGCCCTGCCCTGGCTCAACGTGTCAGCAGATGGTGACAATGTGCATCTAGTTCTGAATGTCTCTGAGGAGCAGCACTTTGGCCTCTCCCTGTACTGGAATCAGGTCCAGGGCCCCCCAAAACCCCGGTGGCACAAAAACCTGGTGAGGCCTCCCCCTTCCCAAGTCCATTCCCACTGTAGGCCAATGCCTGTGCAAAGGACGCAGTGCCTTATCAAAGAGGACCCTTGAAGAGGACTCACCCCAAGCAAGGGAACACTGGTGGGGGAACTTCCGCCTTCCTGGTTTCCTTGACTTTGGCGTCCTCCTCTTCCTCCTTATCTTCTCCAACCTCCTTCCTTTATTTGTTCCACAGACTGGACCGCAGATCATTACCTTGAACCACACAGACCTGGTTCCCTGCCTCTGTATTCAGGTAGGAGCAGAGTCCAGCTGGGTGCCAGAAGAGGAATGGGAAGATGATGATGGGGGTGATCCCTGCCTTCCTGGTCTCACCATTCTTCAAACCCTTCATTGAGGTGGAGACTGTGGCTCCCTGGGGTGGCTGGCCCTTCCTTGACCCTTGCTGTCCTATGCCTTCTGTCTATTACATTCCCTGAATGCTCTCCCTGATCCTCCACAGAACTCCTACTGACACTTCATGGCCCCATTCAAATATCACCTTCTCCTTGAAGCCTTTCCCTACTCCTCCAGTTCTGTCTTTGTGTTCCCCTGGGGGGCAGAGCATGTGCTACGAACTTGGACTGGTTTGAATCTTGGCTCTTGCCATTTGCTAGTTGTGTAACCTTGGGCAAGTCACTTCACCTCTGTGAGCCTGTTTCTCATCTATAAAATGGGAATAATAATAGTAACAGCTTCTTGGGGCTGTTATAAGAATGTGTGCCACATCCAGGCTTAAACCTGCTGGCTCTTTCCTCTTCCTCTGCACATTTATTTATTTTTTTAGACAAGGTCTCACTCTGTTGCCCAGGCTGGAGTGCAGTGGCACAATCATGGCACACTGCAGCCTCAGTCCCCTGGGTTCAAGTGATCCTCCTGCCTCAGCCTCCCAAGTAGCTGGAACTACTGGTGAGCACTACCATACTCAGCTAGTTTTTTTGTTTTGTGTAGAAATGTGGTCTTGCTATGTTACCCAGGCTGTTCTGAATTCCTGGGCTTATGTTATCCTCCCACCTCAGCCTCCCACCAAGTGCTGGGATTATAAGCATGAGCCACTGTGGCTGGCCCCGATTGCACTTTTTTTTTTTTTTTTTTTTTTTTTGAGACAGAATCTCACTCTGTCGCCCAGGCTGGAGTGCAGTGGCGTGATCTCGGCTCACTGCAAGCTCCGCCTCCCGGGTTCACGCCATTCTCCTGCCTCTTCCTCCTGAGTAACTGGGACTACAGGTGTCTGTGACCGCGCCCGGCTAATTTTTTTGTATTTTCAGTAGAGACAGGGTTTCACCTTGTTAGCCAGGATGGTCTCGATCTCTCGACCTCATGATCCGCCCGCCTCGGCCTCCCAAAGTGCTAGGATTACAGGCATGAGCCACCATGACTGGCCCCTGATTGCACATTTAATTGGTCATCAGGTCTCATCCATCTTACCTCTGACATTAATGTCCCTCATTCTCTTTCCCCCTCCTCTCCATCTCAGTCCAGCTTGGAGCTCTATCATCTCTTTTCTAGACTGTTTCAATACTTCCAAGCTCCCCTCCCTTCCCATCACTTTCCTGGCATTCTGGGCCCATATTCTGCCCCCAGTGGTGCCTTTTCACTGTATTTTCCCCATGATTCTCCTTCATGAGAACACTGTTACATCCAGTGGAGCTACTTACCAAGATACACCCATCTCCCTGCCTTTTCTCAGGTGATTCCCATTACCTCAAATACCCTCACCTCTTTCCCAAAGCTTTTCCCCAACCACCCAGCCTCTCCTAGTTCCAAATCCCCTTGCACTTCTATCTTTCTTTGTCCATTTATCACTTCATTTATTTTATTTTCTTAAAATTTTTTCTTTTTCTTTTTCTTTTTTTTTAGAGACAGCATCTTGCTCTGTCACCCATGCTAGAGTGCAGTGGCATGAACACGGTTCATTGCAGCCTCAAACTCCCAGGCTCAAGGGATCCTCCTGCCTCAGCCTCTGAGCAGCTGGAACTGCAGGCATGGGCCACCATGCCTGGCTAATTGTTTCCTTTTTTGTGTTGTTGTTTTTTAATACGGAGTTTCACTCTTTTGCCCAGGCTGGAGTGCAGTGGCGAGTACAGTGGCGTGATCTCGGCTCACTGCAACCTCTGCCTCCCAGGTTCAAGCCATTCTCCTGCCTCAGCCTCCTAAGTAGCTGGAATTACAGGCACATGCCACCACACCTGGCTAATTTTCGTATTTTTAGTAGAGACGAGGTTGGTCAGGCTGGTCTCAAATTCCTGACCTCGTTATCCGCCCGCCTCGGCCTCCCAAAGTGCTGGAATTATAGGCGTGAGCCACCGTGCCCAGCCTGTTTTCATTTTTTAATGTTTTGTGGCGATGGGCCACCACACCCAGCTCGATCACGTCCTTTCTTATTTGGGCATCTAATTTCTTCTTGTACACAACAGATGCTCAATAAATATTATGAAATGAGTGAGTGCTTTACTAATTTATATAAATATTTTATCCTTACTACAAGTGTGAGTTTGTGATTTCCTTGAAGGCAAGCAAATCATATCTAATTCAAATGTAATAGCTTTGCAAGAGCCTTGCATGGTGCCTGGCATATAGCGCCTACTCACTGTTTTGTTTTGTTTTTAAACAAGGTAACAGTATGAGGGTCCTCACTGTTGAATGAGTGAATAAATCTTACTACCTAGCACAGCCATAGGACACAGCAGATGTTCATGAGATGTATGCTGTGATTTAAATGTCTTCATTGCCAAACACAATGCCTGCCACATAGTTGGTGTTCCTAACTAAAGGCTTGATGAATAAATTTATATATTACCTCTAGTGCTTAGCACAGAGCTATGCATGTAATAGGCACTCTTAAAACGTCTGTTGAAAGAATAAATGAATGTGTCCTTAGAACTTAGCACATTCCCTGACACATAGCAGGTGCTCACAAAGTGACTGTGGAATGAATTAAAATTAATTATCCGCCAGGCGTGGTGGCTCACACTGTAATCCCAGCACTTTGGGAGCCCAAGGTGGGTGGATCACGAGGTCAGGAGTTTGAGACCAGCCTGACCACCATAGTGAAACCCAGTCTCTACTAAAAGTACAAAAATAAGCCAGGCGTGGTGATGTATGCCTGCAGTCCCAGCTACTCGGGAGGCTGAGGCAGGAGAATCACTTGAACCCAAGAGGCAGAGGTTGTGGTGAACCAAGATCACACCACTGCACTCCAGCCTGGGCAACAGAGTGAGACTCGGTCTCAATAAATAAATAAATAAATAAATAAATAAATATTTAATTATCCAAGGTCCCTTGTGCCTGCCATACTGCTAAGACACAATGGTAGGCACCCATTAAAAGTCTGTTGAATGGGCCAGGTGTGGTGGCTCACACTTGTAATCCCAACACTTTGAGAGGCTGAGAGGGGCAGATCACTTGAGGTCAGGAGTTCGAAACCAGCCTGATCAACGTGGTGAAACCCCATCTCCACTAAAAATACAAAAATTAACCAGTTAGCCTGGCGCTGTGGCACACGCCTATAATCCCAGCTCCTCAGGAGGCTGAGATGGGAGAATCGCTTGAACCTGGGAGGCGGAGGTTGTAGTGAGCCAAGATTGTACCACTACACTCCAGCCTAGGCGACAAGAGCGAGACTCTATCTCAAAAAAAAAAAAAAAAAAAGTTTGTTGAATGAAAATCTTGCCAGTGCCCAGCATTATGTTTGCTGGAAGAATAGATGTGAGCATCTCCAGGTTTTGTAAAAGGCGAGAAGACCCAGCACATACTTGTGAACTATCTGCTGAATGAGTGTGTCCCCAGTGTCTAGCAGAGGGCCAGGCACATGCCCACGGAGGGGACCTGAGCAGACCCCCGTTTCCTTTCCAGGTGTGGCCTCTGGAACCTGACTCCGTTAGGACAAACATCTGCCCCTTCAGGGAGGGTGAGCTGACCGGCCTGGGGCTGGGGTTGGGGCTGGGGCATTGCGAGCGATGGGTGCCTAGCGTGTGGTGACTGCGCCCTTTCCTTGCAGACCCCCGCGCACACCAGAACCTCTGGCGAGCAGCCCGGCTGCGACTGCTGACCCTGCAGAGCTGGCTGCTGGACGCGCCGTGTTCGCTGCCCGCAGAAGCCGCACTGTGCTGGCAGGCTCCAGGTGGGGACCCCTGCCAGCCACTGGTCCCGCCACTTTCCTGGGAGAATGTCACTGTGGACGTAAGTAAAGCAGAGGACACCTCCCGTAGTGAGGGGAGAGTGGGGAACCAGGGTCCCCCTTTTGTGATCCCACCCGTTCCTCTCTTTCCACAGAAGGTTCTCGAGTTCCCATTGCTGAAAGTCCACCCTAACCTCTGTGTTCAGGTCAGAAAGGGGTGCCAAGTGCTGGGCTGGGGGTTGGACCTGGGCAGACCCCCTAGCCAAGGGGGTCTTAGTTCTTGGGCCGCTAAAGCATAGTGGTTGCCAGCTTCCTCTTTGGGAGTTCCACTATTTACTTTAGCAGTGTGTGGGACCCTGGGCAAGTCCCTTCACTTCTCTGAACGTCAGTCTCCTCATCTGTTTAATGCAGATGATAATACAGTAACTGCCTCATGGAGTGGTTGTGACAATGAAATAAGAGAAGTGCTTCCCCTTAGGAATCCATACACACTAAATGCTCAATAAATGTAGCCACTTTTGTTATTGCTATCCTTATTCTATTTCCATACATGTAGAATGGGTTGCTCTACAGTTTCAAAGGGTGATTATAAGAATATTCACTCATTCGAGATGTTTTTAGCAGTGCGAGTCACTGTTTTAGGCACTTGTGATAGATTCTAACATCTCTACCCTCATAGAACTTATATTGTAATGGACAAAGGCAGCCAACAGACATTGTAAATAAATTATATAATATCTTAAAATTGCATACAAATACTATGGGAAAGGAATAAGGTGGGACTGGGGTTGCAATTTTTAGCGGGATGTTCATGTGAGAAGGGAATCTCTTTGAGAAGGTTAGATGAGAGGGGAACTATGCTTTGTAAGACATAAAAACAGCTTTAGGGTCAGAAGATACTTTACACAGATGACCTCACAAGGCTGGGGCAGCGAAAGATGTAGTGACTCCTAATCACCCAGCCTTGAATCCACATCTGCTCAAGATCAGATTGAGTGCAGATTCCCAACCCAACAGGCCTTCTGTTGCCTGCCCTGTTCTGGTCTTTCTGCCTTTGGCTTTTGCTTTTCTTAGAGGCCCTAACCATGGTCTCTTCCCAGCAGGTGAACAGTTGGGAGAAGCTGCAGCTGCAGGAGTGCTTGTGGGCTGGTGAGTTGGGCCTGGGGGTGGCTGGGACAGGGCCACCTCCTAGGGGTGAAGGTCAGGGCATGGGAGGTGGGCAAGTGGCCAATCCCAGCAAAGTTGGGTCTTGGTCAGAGTGGCCTCTCACCCCTTCCAGACTCCCTGGGGCCTCTCAAAGACGATGTGCTACTGTTGGAGACACGAGGCCCCCAGGACAACAGATCCCTCTGTGCCTTGGAACCCAGTGGCTGTACTTCACTACCCAGCAAAGCCTCCACGGTTAGGACTGGGTGACCCTCCTCCACAGATCTCTCCAAATGCATCTCACACCTGGCCTCAAATTTTCACTCCATCCACCCTGTGCCGGTCTCTGGGAACACAGGGGTGACTCAGACCAGGGCCATATTCAGCGGCATCACCAAAGTCTCCCAATCCCGTCTACCCCGTTCTACCCAGCTGTAGCCCGGTAGGTGCTGCCCTAAGGGTGCTACCTCCAGGTAACAGTGCCCCCATCCTTTGTCTTGGCAGAGGGCAGCTCGCCTTGGAGAGTACTTACTACAAGACCT